GGGGGGGGGGCTGTCGACACGGGACCGACACCGAATGTCGGGCAATAGGGGAATGGAAACATCTTCAAATGGAAAAATCGAGGATTTCCCAATACACTTTTTAGCACGGATCCCTATAGCGGGCCTCATACAATACGCGTCGCTATATGCTTTTTCCCATTTGGGGAACAGCGTTTTGGGCCAAGTCCGAACCTGCTTGTTGACCACAATGGTAGGCAACACTGCTATTAGTTGAGTGCTGCCCCCACTCTGCAACAGTTGGATGGTATATGAAGAGTATAGTTCTATAGCCTTGAATATGACCCCTAATAAAGACTCTTACGGTGTGGGGGCAGTACCCAAACTGTTAGGCTTTGGACCTCGTAGATGCGCTATAGATCGCGTCACCTCTCAATCAAATCTCGCCAAAGCGTGCACGAGCCAGCGCGCAGGCTTGACGTGCCTGATATGCAGAGGGGTATGCTGAACTAGTATGAACTAGTATTATACTTGCGGGTCGCTTATATTCTAATTGGGGTCCCTACATGAAGTTGTGAAGGTTTCCTGTTTGAGCCGTGATCTAGGCAGATTCCCAGCAGCCTCGGCAGGAACTTGCCACGGTGACACGACGAGCGTGGCAGTGACGACTTGGCTCAGCCGGTACATGAACAAAAGCGCGATGCCTTTCATAGGATCCTGCACTGTCCCCATCGTAATACTCCGCACTCTTAATTAAAATGAGGCACTGAGTACGGCTCATCTAGATCTTGTTTGGAGTCCGTTTAAGGTGGGAGTAGTGTAGGAAGAATGTCTCCAGGAAGCGCGTTGTACAGATGCCAGCAGGAAGATGTCTTCATAAGTCACTGGATAGGTGGGTAGTTACCTGGTGGGTACTCTCATATACACCAGACCACCAGAAATCCCAAGGTTTAGGGCTTTGGTATCAATCGCAGCACAAATGCAGTCGGGAAGGATCGCTACTACGGCTGTAGAGCCTTTTTGCTTTGCCAAGGTTGTTCGCGAAGACTGTCCATGCCTTGACGGACGAGGATTGGAAGCCAGACGCCAAGTTGAAATCCTTGCAGATCTTAGGCTAGCACTGACCGGACTGGTGCTTAAGTGGGAGCGGGGGAGTGAGCATAGGTATCATAATGCCGGGCTGATGATGGGCATGCAGGGGGTATACATGGGAGTTTGCAATTGTAAGGATCCACTCCCCGACTCCCTCCAAACAACAGCAAGTAACAAGTACCTGTGAGGGCGTTGACAATCACAAGTTTCCAACCTTGTGCAACTGCTTGTCATTAGCTGACAAGTTGCACCAATCCCTCGCCTGAGGGTGAACATCAAGTTCTCCTGAACTTTCGCTCGCGGGCGGTTGCCTCCCGTGAGGGGCATTGTAGATAGTGTCTCTGCTGCAGTTGAGCTTGGGGTTTCTCAGGACGCTGTTTAGGGTTCCTGCAAGTGAGAGCGCATCAGCTGTAGCATAGCTGTCACTGAGGTTCTGCTGTGGCCAGTGAGGAAGAATCTCTGCTGGCAACGGCCCATCAGCTTATGACAGCAAGGGTTAAGACTGCAAACTCCTAGGATGTCATATCCAGTTTGGTCATAGCTACTAATCCAAAAGTGTCCATACCAGTTGGAGCGCAAGGGAAACCTGAAGGTTTCCGTGCTCTCTAGGACAGGTCAGCCGAGGGTCAGCAAAGCTGATGCGCTGCAGCGAGTCGCTTTCGGGCACAGCTCGCTTTTTGCGTTAATGCGAAGCTGAGCGACGTTTGGCCTCAAAAGTTTGCATGAGTCAATGCACTTTAAGCACGATTTGGGATCTCCTTGCTGTTAGTGGGAAGAGGCCTGTTTGGTGTGTCGTAGGCAGGGCCGTGAAAAACTGGTTCTTGTTCAGCTTGTGTCCGTGATTTGAGTGTAGGATAGACCAAAGATGAATCTGCAGGAGCGGTGTGGCTAAATGATACTTTCTGTGTCCCTGAGGCTAAACAGCTGGGCTGGCATAGTTTCAATGAAAAGGAGATCTGGGTATAAGCACAGGAAGGAATACATGACATGTATAGCATGTAATCCATTACAGAGGCATCCGCATGAAGTCATACATCAGAAGTGAGTCATTTGATCATGTCATGGGCTTCATATTTTCAGGACCATGAATGAAGTTTCAAGTCCAAGCGTGCCACTCTGGTGAAACGGTCAGCATTTCACCCAAATCAGTGTCTGGATCATCCCCAAAACTAGGGCTAGGGTCATCGTCACTGTAGTCAGAGAAGCCAGTGTCAACCCTTGTTGCCAACGCAGTGCATTGCTCAAAAAGCCGTTTGCGAAGAGCTGCACATTGTCCGTACCAGACTCAAGTCTCCTGGCTACAGCTGAGGCTGAGATGTTACTTCTGTTGGGCTTTACCCGGGTGCTGCCAGGAACGAAGGGCCTCGCACAGCACTCTTCGTCTCATCTACAACTCCTGCATTATCCTGCATTTCTGAGCAATCGTGAGATGGTTTTGACACTGTCGTTGGCCCCTGCACGCGTCATTGATGTTTGGTGTGCTTGGTTTTGCTTGAGGTCTGATCATTATGGCCACCCTCCAGGACAAGAATCATGTGGAAGAGTTAGCCAGTGCTGTCACGCGTGGAGCATGCGAAGGAGCGTTGCACATGCGTCTACTTGCAGATCGATTGCGACGATGGCGAGGTTACGACTGCTGTTGCATTGTACAACCATTGGCTATTTGCGATCAGGTGTAAAGCTTGTCAGTTACTTGACACTTCTTGTTGAAATTCCGCCAACGTTTACGAAGGGAGTGCCGTAGCAGGAGTAGCCAAAACAACACAGCCGTGTATTCTCAGCATCCGTCCGCAACGAGCAAGTTCAGCTACGTAACGAAGCAGGGGCAGCTGTGCAGGTCGGAGAGCCAAAAGTGTGGCCAGCGACTCCGGATTCGCCCCTTGAGTTGGGTCCTCAGAGTTGTAGGCTAGGGCACGTTTGCAATGACCGCAGCATTGGTGTCAAAATGAAGGCTTCTGCCTTTGATGTACTGACTTGCGACTGCCTATGATTGCTTGCAGGTACCAAAACGAGAAGCCTCTGATGTTTAGCCGGGGGCCCGTGCCAGGCTGGCAGCCTTTGCTTTGCAAGTGCGGTGTGGGCCTTCGCGCTGTTTGAGCAGTCCTGACCTTGACGCAGGCCCACCCGTGCCTTTGAGGAAGATGAATGCCGATGCTGAGGAGTTCATCCCACAGGCAAGCGTGACTCCCCCTTGCAACTGTATGC